TTCTGTCTCTTTTATAAGATTTAACTAAGATCGCAGTTGAGTCACTATAATTGAAAATCAGCAGTTGGACAAACAGTGAACTTACATTTCTGAACAAATCTCCTAATAATTTTTATTTGAATGTTTTAATAGTTGTGTGCATTAAATTTTGTAGTTGAACTTATGGCTCCAAGCCTGTTGAAAGCTTTCTTTGTTTGTGCGCTACCATCTAATTTTTGACACGGGCTAAACAAGAAAATACTAATCTTGAAATTTTATTTAAAATATATGTCGCTTAGAGGCTGGGAAGGGAAAAAGTTCAACACAAGTTTTGAGAGGTATTTTATTTTTTTGTATATGTATTAAATAACGCAGTTCTATAGGTTGCTGTCCATAAAGTTATATTTTAAACTTTCTTCACTAAATCAAATGGCTGTTTTCTTCGACTATTTATGGAATACTAGAAAGATCAGATTGATTATCGGAGTGATAGTGTATAAACCAAAGTTTTCTCTTTTTCATTTTCTAATTTAGGGTTGTTTGACAAAACTTTGGATAAAAGTTTCATAAATTATTTATGAAAGTCGATGAAACCTTTGTGCCATGAAATGTGATTAAAATTCAAGTTTTACCATTTTGTAAAAGTTATCCCCAGTTTGTGCCACGATCTTTAAAAACTCATATTTTCTCGAATGCATTTTCAAATGCACATTCTTCAAATAATATTATTTTACACGTAAATCCAAAACTTTTCCCTATTTTTTAATCGCATCCTCCAAAAAAAATCATTATTACAAAATTTGTTTTCACAAAAAATGGGACTCAAACAAACCCTTAAAAAAATTTAGCGAAGTTTTATCAAACAAGCACTTGAGAATTTTGGATGTATCGATTCAATTGGTAGGTTTATTTTTATATTGTTTGTGATTGTGGGATGATCTATTTTTTTTAATGTTTGATTGCACAAGATTGTGAGAATCTTTGTTTAGCCCCTGTTTGGTACACATTAAAATTTTCTTTCTCATTATTATACTCATTTTCAATCACACATTATTCGGTAAAATAATATTTTCCATCATATCAATAACTTTTCCTTTTTTTTCAACCACAAATTCTCCATCAATCTATTATTCTAGAATACATCCTTTCAAAATAATGTGGCTCAAACACACTCTTAATTTATTATGTCTTCAATGTAATGATGTATATGATAACTTGTGTATATGTGGTAAAGCAGTATCTATAAGCAAAGATGGTGAGAGTTAGTGTACTGAATGATGCTCTCAAGAGCATGTATAATGCAGAGAAGCGGGGGAAGCGTCAGGTGATGATTAGACCCTCATCCAAGGTCATTATCAAGTTTCTCTTGGTGATGCAGAAGCATGGTATAGGAAACATTCTGTGGGACATTTTTTTTTTTTAAATTAAAGAGTTCTTTGTTTAGTGTTATATGTTTACTTAATCTTTTGATCATACATTTAGGATATATTGGGGAGTTTGAGTATGTTGATGACCACCGATCTGGTAAAATTGTGGTCGAACTAAATGGAAGGTTGAACAAATGTGGAGTCATCAGCCCTCGCTTTGATGTCGGTGTCAAGGAAATTGAGGGGTGGACTGCAAGGTTACTTCCCTCCAGACAGGTAATTGATAGAAGAGTTTTAGATTAAAGTTTGGAAGATGACATACTGTACTTGTTAGAAATAAAAACAATTTTGACCTATGCCTCATTTTCTGTCGTGGATTCATTATGTGGAGCATTCGTATCTTCTCTAAAAGGTTTATAAAGAGCATGTTTGGCTATTAATTTCAGTATTAGTAATTTTCTATTGAAAAGCCAAGTTATCCACACATGTTTGGAAAGAAACAAAATTTACGTTAAAAGTAACTCCTATTATTTTAAGTTTAGCCAAACTTGTTAGAATATCTTCCTACTTCGATGCTAAGCATCTATACGAAGTCTTTCATGCTTATACTATATATATATACTATAACATAGGAATGGACTGTCTTGATTTTAGCAATTGATCTTGGTTGTTGATTAAAAGCTCTACCGTGTCACCGAAAGTACAAGTTATATTGCCTTATTTTTTCTTCACCGTATGTATGTTTTTATTTGATTAACATAATTTGTTGTACATGCAGTTTGGATACATTGTGCTGACGACGTCCGCAGGCATCATGGACCATGAAGAGGCTAGGAGAAAGAATGTTGGTGGAAAAGTGCTTGGCTTCTTTTACTAGGCTAATGTTGTTCTATGGACGAGTTTGAAATTTTCCTTATTCGAAGTGCTTTTTAATGTACTATTGAGATTATCGACAACAATGACACACCTCTATATATTTGTTTATTTGCTTTCAACGTGAGTTGAGATTAAAATTATTATGTTTTCATCGTATCGAATTATGGTAATATTTACAAGTTTGCAGAGTTCGTCTTTGATCAACTTTTTACATGCAACTGTCATGGATGGTATTACCAAACTGTAAAGTTAGAATAATCTGATGGAAAGGGATCGGGTTTTTTCATGAGTCGCAGTACTGTCCGATTTGTCTTGATTTCTGGTCAATAAACAAGAAGGAACAAGAAATTCTCAAAGCATAATAGATATTCTAGGCTAGCTACTTGAGAAAATTACTTAACGAGCGTTTGGCTCTTTTTACAAGCATTGACAGAGATTTGTCAAAGCATTTTTAGCATATTTGGTATGCATTGCTAGAGAGATTCTTTTTTTTTAACAGTGTTCAGTATTGAATCCACTTTAAACAAAAAAGCCATTCACATATAAGAATACAAATCAAACATCAAAAGGTGAAATCAAGTAAAATTTCAGTTATACTACAAAAGGCCTATAACTGGTGAATTTGCAAATATCTTCTCTTTGTTGGCAGTGAATCCCCAATTATGGGAAATGCTTTTTCTTCTTGGCTTTGCCTCTCCAAGCATTGTTATAATGTCTCTCATTGATGGCCTGTCCTTTGGGAGTTTAGCAGTGCAAAGAAGTGCAATTTTGAGGACAAGAAGCATTTCCTCTTCAACATATATACACTTTCCAACAATATCAGGATCTAATGCTTCTTTTAAGGTTTTTCTGTGTCCCTTTCGTCGAACCCATTCGACTATATCAATTGATTCACCAAATGCGGGATCTAGAGGCATTTTCCCTGTTAGAAGCTCTAGAAGCACCACTCCAAAGCTGTATATGTCACTTTTTTCACCAATCTTTAAAGTGTATCCGTATTCTATAAGATAAAAGAGAAACACGATAAAAATCTTCGCATTGTGTATATCATGCTTTAGATATTCTAATAGACCTGTCAACGTTGAACTTCCGTTGTGTGTTGCACGTTATTATGAAATGCTATAGAAGTAATGTTTGAATGTGCGTGGTACAATTAATTGAATCTTAATACTATAAGAAATATATATGTGACAATAAATGTTAAATCATTTATTTAATTTCTAATTAAGTAAAACTATACGCTAATTAGCATACATGGACATGAATAATGAAATGCATTCTTGAATGTGAAATTCTAATTAATTTATAATTAGAATTAATAACACTGAAATGTATAAATGATATTAAATGTTAATCAAATGAATGTGAAAGTAAATTAATTGAGAATTAATAATAAAATACATTAATGAAAACGACGTGTGAAATGAATCTATCGAATGTACATGTATATTGACGGTAACTAAATGATATTGAAATCGAAAAGTAAGGTATTATTGAAATAATTGAATTATAGTAGATCTAGAATCGTCTAAAAAATGATTCTCACTTAATGTATTATATAATATATTGAAAAATTCCTTTTAAGTACAGGAATTTTTGCTAGAATTTTGAAATGAATGAATCATGTCCTTGTGTGTGTTTTTTCCCTCCTCCAATCTTTCAATCATTTCAAATTCCTGTATGTTTTCTGTGAAAAAACTCTGTACTCATAGCAGGGCCCTAATTTATTATAGATGTAGTAATGAATCGAACTATTTGACTATAATCTTACTGGAATAAAACTTACTAACCTGGTGCTATGTATCCATATGATCCAGCCACCATTGACACTGTCTCATTCTTGTGAAGCATTGTCCTTGCCAAGCCAAAGTCAGAAATTCGTGCCTCAAAATCTGAGTCGAGCAAAATGTTGTTTGATTTGATATCTCGGTGGATAACTGGAGGATGGCAATCGTGGTGAAGATATGCGAGCCCCTGTGCGACACCAAAGGCAATGTTGTACCTTGAAACCCAATCTACCAACATTTTTCCAGCCTCTTTTCCGTGCAATGCTGCACCAAGATTTCCATTAGGCATGTATTCATAAACCATCATACAGTCAGTCTCATTGTGTAGATAACCAAATAATCTCACTATGTTCCTATGCCTAAGTTTCCCTAGGAGTTCCACCTCTGCAAATAGGTCGTCCCCGGTTTCAATATCTGTTTCTGACCTCCGTGACTTTTTCACAGCAACGACGTTGTGTGGACGATGAGTTTCAGCCTTGTACACGATTCCCGTCCCACCAATGCCTATCACGTTTGATTCCTTCAGACAGGCCAGAATGTCAGCACTAGTGAAATTAAACCTCTGAAAAGCTACAAGCCTCCATGGCCATTCTGAATTGTTCTTCTTAAACAAATTGACGAAGCAATTTTCGTTCATATACCATTGTTTATAAAGCCGTCTCCCGGTGAAAACCAACATGCCTATAGCCAGAATTACTGATATCCCGACAAGAAATCCTACAACAATGTGATTTATCCGAACTTTCCTTTGCCGTGCTGTGTGGATGATATTTTGAGAACACGGGGGAAGTATCCCATCACACAGACCAGCATTGCCTACGAGATCATTAGGGTTAATGGTGATTAAGATACCGTTATTTGGAATAGGACCCACGAGCTTGTTGTAGGACACATTGAAGGACTCGAGAGCTGGTGAACTTCCAAAATTCTGCGGTATTCTTCCAACAAGAGAATTGTTAGACAAATCAAGAATGGCTAAAGTTGGCATTGTGGCTATAGTTTTTGGAATTTCACCAGTGAATTGATTGTTTCTAAGATTCAAAGTCACTAGTTTTTCACACGAAGCTATACTTTGGGGAATTTGTCCTGAAAAATGGTTACTGGATAGATCTAGCACAGAAAGTGATGGACAGTCCTGAAACTGATCTGGGATTTTTCCTTCAAGATTGTTGCTCGAGGAGATGAACATTTGAAGGTTAGGGATGGAAAGAATGCTAGAAGGTAATGCTGAGACGAGGTGATTCTGAGAAACATCGATAAATGAAAGGGAAGCCGACAGGGAAAAATCTTCAGGAATTTCACCAGTGAGATTGTTATTAGCCAATTCTAGTCTTTGAAGTATTGGAAGATTTCCAAAGCCAATTGGGATTGACCCTGAAATAAGATTGTTTTGAATTCGAACACGAACCAAAGAAGAACAATTCGAAAGGCCTATTGGGATTGAACCTGAGAAGGAATTATTGAAAAGAATGAGTTTAGTGAGATTGCCTGAATCACACAAACCTGATGGAATCTCACCAGACAACGAGTTAGATGAAACATCTAACCAATGCAGAGGAGAGTTTTTTCCAAGATTTTCAGGTAAAGGGCCTGTCAACGAGTTTTTCCAAAGCTCGAGTACCTTGAGTTTTGCCAATTCTCCAAGCTTCTCTGGAACAGACCCTGTTAGATTATTGCACATGAGATTCAGCAACTGCAGATTCTTCAGTTCAGCAATTTCATAAGGAATTTCGCCCGAAATTTGATTATCGGATAAATCCAAATAGATTAGAGATTTTATTTTTCCAATTTCAGGAGGAATCTTTCCAGAGAAACTGTTTTGATACAAATAAACTGTGGTTAAATACTTCAGTTGGCCTAATTCTCCTGGAATTTGTCCACTCAATGTACCAACAGCCAAATCCAGATACTGAAGGTTAGTAAGATAACCAAACTCTCCTGGAATTGAGCCTTCAAACTGATTGTATCCCAAAATCATCGTCTCTAAAGACGACAACTGACCAAGCTCAGTCGCAAGCCTTCCCGTAAGATTATTACCAGAAAGGCCTAAAAACCTTAACTTCTTTAAATTCCCGAACGATGGTGGAATTGAACCTTCAAAGAAACTCCCTCTGAAATCCAGGCTTTCAAGTGAGATCGAATTCCCAATGTCCTCTGGGAGCAAGCCCTCGAAATTATTGCTCGATGCATTGATGCTTATCAACCCTGGAATCATTCCAAGGCCTATTGGAAATTTGCCAACAAAATTGTTCGAACTTGCGTCAATACTCTTCAAAGAAGTCAGATTGGCTAATGACTTAGGCAACGACGAGGCGAAATTATTACAGCAGATATTAAGAATGGATAGGTTCCTTAAATCTTGAATGTTGTCTGAAACAATGCCACTAAGACTCATGTTGGACAAATCTAGCTTCTCAACTAGGCCCTTCGAGTTGCAAGAAATCCCGGTCCAGTTACAATGCTCATCGGTCGAGTTTTCCCAGTCCTTGAGGTGATCCAAGGGATCAATCAAGCTAGATTTTATTGATAATAATGCTGATAACTCGACATTTGGAAGAAATGAATCTCCATTGGCAGAAACTAAGGAAAAACCAATGAAACAGTAGAAAAAAATCAGCTTTTTTTGCATTTTGTTCATAATTTTTTCTGCCTTTTGCTCTAGTTTTGCTCCATTTCAGACAATTGTACAAGATTATGACAAGGGAAGTTATATGAATGAAAAAAAAAAAAAAAATGGGATTAATGATTGGACAGTAAGCTGTGATGATTAAAGATGTGATATCTCTATGCATGTTCAATGATTAATTAATTAATCTAAAAATGTGTTCGTGAGTTCTTGGAATATGAACCAGCAATTAATCTGAAACAAATGACTGTAAACCTTTGGACTTATTTCATAATTTTCCGACAAGAAAACATGCAAGGAATGTGTTTTAAGTAATCAACTGTCTGATTTATTACATTGTACTTTCTCATAATTGATCAATTTGTCAACTCAAATGAGTAATAAAAATGATTAATTTCGTCTTTCTTATTAAAAATATTTACTAGTTTGTTAACTTATTTGAAGGCTTTGTTATTGTTTACCTTCAAAGACATTAATGTTCTTACTTTATGGCTGTCATCTTTTGCCCCTCATTTTATCAATCTTAGTTATAAATTTAGGATTCGAATGACTGGTTCGAAAATGGATCACTAGTTCCGTTGACCTCGAAATTCGGTGAGATATGTGACCAACAGATCCCGACTTTACTTCCGTCCATGCGCATGTTATATGCACACTTGAATAAAGCATTAGGTGCACAGATTCAATTATTACTTTGGACCAATTTACTTATCGAATTATCGACAATTACCGAAATCTAAGTCATCGACAACAATAACACCAAAATTTCTACATTTTCTTAGGTATCAATACGTTTATGAATTTCAGTGTTATACAACTAATTTCCCCCTCCCTACTTGTACTTGATTTACATAAAAAATTGATGTATGTACACACATAATTATCTGTGAACATGATCATAAGGGGCTCCAAGAATCTCATCATGTTAGGGTAGGGAAATTAGTTAAAAACATGACAACTATAAGCCTTTTCTCCTCTCCTCTCTCTCTCTATATGTGCATGTATATATGTATGTATATCTTTCTAATAATAGAGTGTTCTTTCTTTGTACCCACATGGAACCCATCTGGCTATTTAATCTTTTATGAATTTAAAATAAATTTATTTTGATATGTTTTGTGGTATGGGATGATACCTTAATAATGCAAAGATAACACAAAAGTTGGAGGCCATGTGAAACTGCAGCTTCCCTAGGAAATCAAATGAATTTGCATCCATTCTTGCAAGCGAAGAGATACCTACTCCTTAGTCCCCAAATAATAATAATGATATATCGATGTTCATTTTATCAACATTATCAATCGTCATCATGATAGGAAGAATGAAATGACTAACTATGATGACGGCGCGAATTATGAATATAATATTAAAAAAAGATCGATTTTAAATTATTTTTTACCATAAATTAGTAGAAGTAATATCTTTCGTGAAATTCGATCTAAATTTTAACGGGTCACGACCTTGATATAAAGTCGGAGTAACTAACTATTATTAATGCACTACATCACAATCCAAATTGAAATAACAAAACTAATATTTGTTTGCGTAATACAAATCGCAAAAATTCATGTGAAGAAGTCAAATTAATTATTCCTCGATCTATTGATGAATCATCTCTCCAAAAGAACTTCCACTAAAAATACTATTTTTTTTTTAATTCCAACATAACAATTGCGAATAAATTTAATGAATTCCTATAGTAGTAATTGTGCTACTTCTATTATTTGGAACAAGTTTGAGAATCAAAAAGATGTAGTATGAGGTGCCCACATGCTTTTCTAACATAGCCCTCATTAATGCTGCATAATTAGTTAGGAATCTTGAATCAAGCTTCAAGGATGTTCCAAACAAGTATTAAAGAAATTTAGTGCATAAAATGTTTGTTCATCGAACGTTTTCGCATTTTATTGTGTTTGAGTGCACCCATGAAGTATAAGAAATTTCCCTTAATAATCCCTTGTTTGGGCCTCATTTTTAAGAAGTCGCATTGGAACAATTACATAGTTTTATGGAAGTGTTTTGTCTGATTAGAATGGTTTTTAGTGAAAGCCGACTTAAAACGATTTTTTTTTTCAGAAAACTTTTCGTTAATAAACAGAAATCCTGCGAAATGAGCCCTTAATATTTTTGATCTGTAAAAATTTTGGCAAACTCTCATTTTCCGACAAATTTTCCCTTTTTTTCGAAGTTTTTTTTTTCGTTATTTGATTGTTCCAATTATTTTTGAACACAATTGATATAAATCAAAAGATAAAACTAAATAATACAATAGAAATTTAACTTATTTTTATACCATGATACTATTTAACATTGTACAATTAACTTAATTAAGCCCTCGTTTCGTAGAGGTTAAAATCATATTTTCAGTGAATTTTGATAAAAAGTTGATGGAATGTGGTTTAAAAATTATAAAATATTAATGAGATACAAAAAATCACATGACATACACTATAATTTCCAAATAAAACTAATTTTAAAATATGCCCCATTTTTTATTTTATTTTATTCTTATAAATTCACCTGAATTTTCAACTTGATACCCTAACGTCGCCTAGTTTCGTAATTAACCCAACAAATTATCAATTCAACTCATTCTAATCTTCTTTCGGCCCAATTTTTGTTTGCCTTCCATTTCCAAGTAGCCTTATGTGATACTCAACAAAGATATTTGGGCCTAAGTTTGAGCTAGAGGAAATTACATAATTCCAAATATTTCAACTTTAGAGTACAAAAATCAAGTGATAATATTTTTTATAAAAATTAAATATTATTCCCACCCTGCCTAATCCCAAACCCTAAATCATTTTTCATCTACCTCTCCTTCTCTCCTCGTCTCTCTCAACCATTTCTATTTTCTTTAGATCGCCGTTGCCATTGAGGAACTCCCGTCGCCGGAGAGTCGAGCAAGGGCTTCATTGCTGCTGTACTGCACCGCGTTGTGAGTGGAGCAGTGGCTTCAAAATTTAGACGGATCTGGGGACATTTTCAGACGGTGCTGTGGCTGCCGCATTTTCAGACGGATTTGTAGTGCTGCGTGGTTGTGAATTTTTCCCTTTGGGACCATTTCCAAATCAATTTTCTTCAAGAAAATTTACTTAAACAGCACTGATTGTGAACATAATAGCATTTGAGTTTTGCTATTCGTCCAGTGCATATGTTTTTCCCTCGTCGTTTTGAAGAAGTTGGTATTTGATCGCTTTCCTTGGCTAAAGTAAAGGGGATCGATCCCAAACTTAGGGCGAAAGAGGCCAGATTTCGTCCATGGCCCATGTGGTCTTGTCACTCTAGCAAAACCCTTAACATTATAACTAGATACGCTTTAGAAAGATAATAATGATTCATTTTTCACTTTTTGGTAAAGATTTTACTAAAATTATTTATATCTAGTCAAATTTTATTTTTAACCCTACATTTTAATAAACTTTCAAATACTACTCACTTATTCCCTACTCATTTTTGTCTATTGATAAAATAAATTATTTATAAATTCTCCCTAAACAGGTCAATGTAAATGATTAATATGAGATAAGAGTTTCTTAGCTTTGGTTGAATCATTGTGACTAAATTATAAGGATTCATCGAGTCACCTAGATAACTTTAAAATAGAACAAGATAGTCTGAATTCAATCAAATTGGACTTGAGCTTGGAGAATGAGTCGATTGGGATATAGGGGTAAAAGGAGAAGAGGTTTCGTGTGCGTGCGTGCGTATATAAAAGAGAGAAGGGCATCCATCCTCTCGACCTCCATATTCGGCCAAAGTTGTACATTACATTTTTTAAGATAAATCGTCCCCTTCGTGCAATCTCCCCCTCTTGTGAATTCAACTTCCATTTAAGGTTCCTGAATTACAATGGTGTTCACACGACTATCTAAATGAGAATATTTGCGAAGATTACAATTTCTGCTTCTTATTGAAGAGTTTTCTCACCCTAAATCATCTTCATCTAAAAACTCTTTTAATCAGATAAAGCACTTTTAAAAAATGATTGAAATGTGTTTAAAATTAACTTCTTAATTTTAGAAAAATCATTTAAAGTTTCAAAAACACTACATTCATGCTTGAAATTTAGGTAGATTTAGCATTTCTTTGGTAGGAATTAAAATCAGATTTCTAGTAAATTTTGATAAAAATTGATGAAATATGTAGTTGAGAAGTTGTGGAACCTATGAAATATGTGGTTAAAATTAATTATTGACTTTAACTTAGATTAAAATCTGAATCTTAATTAGTATCAAACAAGGCATAATAAGAAATTAGACGCACATTATACGATAGGTCAACAAGGTTTAATCTACACTTTAATTAATACGCGAAAAGAATGATTCTACTACATATCATTAACGGAAGAAACTATTTTGCAAAAGACACACACACACACACACACACACACATATTTTTTATTTTTTTAATTTATTTTTATATTTTTTCTATTCTGCATTATAGTCCTCGAGTTTTAAAATATCTACATATACCATTTACCTTAGCTCCTAATTTTCTTGCATTTTCACCATTTCTTTCTTTCAAATAAATCCTTCGCCGTTAAATTGTTTTTTAGAAAATCCAAAGATTCAATCAAGATGCCAAAAACAAAGATAGGTAGGGACGAGCCATCTATAGATAGGGATGGCAGTGGAGGCAGGGCGGTCATTACCATCACCATCACCGATACGTTGAAGATTCGGTAGGTGTAACGTGGACACAACGAGAGTGGACATAAAAAAAAATCCTCAAAATATTGCTCATTAAATGCCACATTCAAAAATGCTTATGAATTGACATTCGAACTAATTCAGCAGTTTAATGATTAAATAATATAGTTTCTGAGTCGTCAATGACTCATAGACCAATAGAAACTTGATGATTGATCGAATTAAGATTCTTCTTTTTCATATTGGATTACTTATCGCTTTCCACTAATTGTCCCATTTGGATTTTGATAATTACTTCCATTTGTGTTCATATTAGAGGTCCGCTTTTATGCCTCCTTTCGAAATTCTCTA